AACGTCATATGATCTGTGGCTCCTGAATCAATAATCCAACATGTGGAGTCACTTGTATATGATGTATGAAATACATATCCACAGTTACCTGAGTCACTAAGAGATGGAGAGTTCTTTTCTGGTGCTGAGGTAGATTCTTCATGAGGAATTAATGTTATCGGAGAGTCCATGGTGACAAGGGCAGCACGACCCGTTCCTCTAGCAGCAAGTTTACGAGCCTTAAGACCCTCCCACCACTCTGGATAGCCATGTAATTTAAAACAGGTTTCTCGAGTGTGCTTTGGATTCCCACAGTGAGTGCAACCATTTCCATCTATGGGAGCCTTGGGTCGAGAAGGTGGAGTAGTCTTGTTGGCAGCGGTCTGTGGCTGGAGTGGAGTGGTTGGACTTGGGCGAGAGGGGCGGGATGTTCCTTTTGCTGCCAGCCCTACTCCGGTTGGTGTTGGAGCTCCTAACATCACAGCTTGTCGAATATCTTCTCGTCGAACATGAGCATAGGCTTGCTCTACTGTAGGGAATGGACTCATTTGGAGCACATCACTTCGGGCTTTGTCAAGTCGGTCATCCAAACCATCCAAGAAAATATAAACTCGGTCTTCTTGGATGATATCATAGTATTTCTTGATATCCAGCTCACACTTCATTTCATTTGGGCGACGAAAATCGATTTCTCTCCATAAACCTTGGAGATCATTGTAGTAAGTTTCAATCGAGCCTCCCCCTTGTCGCATACGGGAGATTCGCCTTTTAAGATCATACACCTGGGAGGTGTCAGTGCCATCAAAGTAAGTTGTGGCTATTGCATCCCATACTCCTTTGGCCGTCGGGAATCTAATGAAGTTGCCAATCAACCTTGGCTCCATGGAGTTGATTAGCCACCCTTTCACAATTGCATTTTCTGTCCGCCATCGGTTGAATGTAGAGTCTGTCTGAGAAGGTGCTGGGAGTTCACCCGTGAGATATCCCAGCTTGTCTTTGCCAGCAACATACATCTCAATAACTTGAGACCATAAGGCATAGTTAGAGCCATCCAATTTAATGCCAATTTGTGCAGAGGAGGTTTCGTAGGTAATTGTCGGAGTCGAAGTCGTAGTCGATGTTGATGCTTGTATCTTCATCAACTCAGCCATTTGAGTAGCAAATTCTGTGAAGGTAGAAGGAGTAGCCGGGTCGGTGGTGCTACTTTCAGTGGGAAAGAAGTCGTTTTCTCCCATGATTGCAGCAACGATTCAAGACTAGAGTCAGCAAGATCGCTGCTCTGATACCATGTCAAATTAGGAAGAAATATTGAAGGTTGAGTAGAGATAATGGAGAGTGTAGAGAATTTTGGAAGCTATGCATATTTTCTGATTTCAACTTATGTTCATTCTATTACACATCAAAACATATATACATGTAATAACCCTAAAACATTCCATGAAACATTCCCTAAGACATTCCATGAAACATTCCCTAAGACAAGGATTACATTGCTCAAGAAAAGTATTCCCTAAAACAAGGAATGAGACAAGTGCCATGAGACAAGGGTTGTCTTGTGTTTCATGTCTTTGTGTTTCACAAGGTGACAATCACACAAGATGCCAATATTGCTAACATGATATTGTTCATAACACAGTTAATTTGGTCTTTTTAGCGTATATAAAATAAAGGACATAAAATAGCTTACCCACAAGGTCCATCACCAGATTGTACCATGCCACATATCATGTTCTCTCTAACCTTTGGTGAAGCCAATGACATGTCCTTCAGCTTGATAGCTGCATTTGTGTCCAAATTCTCCTTTGGATACCTTTGCCCCTCAACTAAGACACAGAACTCCAGCGGTGTATAGTTCTTCCTACCATTTTTCCCCAAATCCAAGCAGGGAATGTTTTTGTACTGGATCTCCTGGTATTTTTCCCTGAAATAATCAAGCAGCCTAACTTTCTTAGGTGGACACTGGCCATCTCTGTCTACAGCATCAAACGTAATGTCTCCTGCATTCTTATCACTCAGCCCCTTGATGATGTACTTTTGCTTGGTTCTAAGGTGAGTCACAGTAACTTTCAATTCCATCAATACATCCACAACCTCTCTCCTAAACCTGTTGAAATTGTTTAAATCAAAGTCCCTGATCCGCTCTTGCAGAAAATCTATAACGGGCTGGGACTTATAACATGCCAAGACTGAGTAGTCAAGACACAAGGCAGGACCCTGGGAAGTCAGCCTTGAGCTTTGCTGAAACCCTCTAAATGCAGCAATACCATGCCCAAGGTCATCGTTTTGATTTGATGTAGCGGGGTAAAAGCTTCGCCCAACAGAAACCAAGCACCTAGTTGGATTTTCTTTCATCACCAAATCCATACCCTGCAATATATCATGAGGGATAGACAACACGTGGCCACTATAGTACTCCTTCAACTTGCAAAGCTTGAGCTCATTTACAAACTTTATGGTAAATATGTATGAACTGAACCGCGTGCCTTCTTCCTCAAAAACCTCCACCTTAAATGATCCCGTGGGCAACGGCACCGCACTGAGGATGTTCTTTCCACCATCATATGCGGTACTTGACAAGGGAAAATCCGAAGGATTATCAGAGGATAACTTTTTCCTGATTGCAGAGAGTTCAGACTTCGACATTTTCATAGGACGGCCATTTTTAGCAGGCTTCTCTGGCTTGACATCAACATCGTAGTGCCTTATAATACTCTCAGGATTGTACGAGAGATTAAAATGATTAGCACGAAGGCTAGTAGTTTGGATAGATTTTGTGCCTCCATTATCAGGCCGTCTCACAGGGAGTTTTTTGTCCGCTTCATCATCCAAAGAAGGCGAAGAAAGTGCCTGTTTCGAAATTTCCAGAGATTGCATTCTAGGAACAAGAGTATCTGTGAAGAAAAAAGAACAAACAAAAGGTGTTATTACCAAGCCTCATTATTTATTTAAATCCAAATGGCTAGACTAACGGTAGCTAAAAACTGACATTTAGGAATAAAAATGCAACGGCTTCATTCACAGTCTATATGATATGATCAGTAGTGCAAATTTCAATTGCATCTCAAAAAGGACCCAGAATGAAGAAAAAAAATTTTTACCAGGAGTAGGAGAGTTTATTGGGGCTGGAGATACAGCAGGAGAGGCTGCTCTGGTGGAAGCGGGACTATTCCATGGAGAAGGCCTCCCTTGCTTGCCCCAACTCTCATTCGGTTGTTGTTGATAATGCTGCTGCTGCGGCGGTTGTTGTTGATGGTGGTACTAGGACCCACCACCACCATGACCGCCATAACCACCTCTTCCTCTCTCTCCTCTTCCTCCTCCTCCACTTCGTCTGCCGTAGCCACCGTAATCACCTCTTTCACCACCATTACTGCTGCCTCTATGTCTTCCTCTGTTTCCACCACCACCTCTTTCCATTGGAGAAATCGGAAGCAAACTCAAAAACGATGGAATAGAAAACTTGCCTCAAATTCGTACTCTCTCAATTCACAAAAATTATTAATGAGTCTGTGATCAAGATGAGAAGTTGGTTCCTTATAAAGGGAGTTGGGTTGAATGACGATCTTGTCCCTGCGCGATTGCCTTAGCCACGAAGTGCCTTAGTCACGAAGGAATCAACCAAGAAGGAGACGCGGGAGTGGGAGAGGTCGGAAAATGGTTTTAGATTTTTGGTGGAAAGTCAAGAAGCTTCCATGGAACAGAGAGGAATTTGCTTCTTCTTTTTCTTTTGCCAAAGGGTTGCATGAGGAACTGTATTTGATACCATTCTCCTCTTTCTCGTATCGCTTATATTCGCTCACTCTTTGTCCCCGCCCTTTTCCTTTTTTTTGGTGAAAACCAAGGTATCCCCCGCGCGATTGCGGGGACTAACCCTCGAGGTACTGTCGGGCGCAAAGCGGGGACCTCTCCCAACAAAGTCTGCTCTATTCGCAAGCGCCTGGGATCGAACCCAGGACCTCTTGTTTAAAGGATCCAAGCCCCTTCCACTTGGACCAACTCCTGTTGGTGCCCTTTTCCTTTTTTGATAACGCTTCCAAGTTCCCTCCTTTAAAAATACAAAAGAATGGTTCCCACCTTGCCTAGCTCAACAACCACCACGTGTCTTTTTTAATTCTCAATTCTTTTTAATTTCTTACCCAAGTTAAAAGTTGAAATCTTTTGCGACCCTACGCAACTCCTTACAATCCCCTTCCAGCCAAATTTGCCATTAACAATATGGTACGCATAACTTTTTTATGATTTTTTTTTTTTTAATGTTTTGCTAAAGTTGAGAAGCGAGGAAAAAATTCACACATAGTAACATGAGAGCTTGAACTCATGATCACTTGAGAGCACAATAAAGAAGCTATTCAGCTAACACCTTATGGATTCTTACAATTTTATTTTAGAGGATATAAACATTGTTGGATCAAGCAAATTTTGAGTGACAGAGATAGTAAAACACATAATGAAAATACATCAAACAGATTTCTGAACACAAAATTAGAATAGTCTCATTATGACCACAAGTGACAATCATGGTCAAGAACAAAAAAGATATATCCCTTCATCACCAATTTTGAGATTAAAAAACACTATTAATTTGTAGTTAAGCCACATTACTAGATAAGAACGAGTTCCTCCTTAAATTCACACAGAAGAAATAAACACCCATTAGATTCACGCACAAACTCCTTTTCAGGAGGTTGGAGTTGCGCCCGGGTTGCCAAGTTACAAAACCATATCCTTCATGTTCTACAAAAGAGAGATCACGGGATCATGCTTCGACCTTCATACGAAAAACATTATGTTTTCCAGGTCAGCATGCAGTTTGTAAAACCTTTCCTCTAGAGAAGCCACTGATAGTGCTGATGATGCTGAGGATGACGATGATGCTGAGGATGCTGAAGCTGGAGACTGTCCCTCCATACTCTCATGGTATAATCGCCCTCTATATGCCACAAGGTCAGCATAGTACACCGGTGGGACCAACGATACCGGTTTAGTACACCTTGCAAACGTGAAGCACAAGTCATATATGAGCTTCTGCAATTGGTCAGAAGTAAACCTGTGTTCATCCCAAAGAACATGGTAGTGTGTTGGTTTGCTTGTTCCAAGGGCTCCATAATGACTGCAGAGATAGAAGTCAAACTCAAATGGGTGCACGATTACTGTGTCCACAACAGTTCCCGGTAATACATTGCCTGTGGAACTACCTTCCCTCATGCTCTCCGGAAAGAGACGAGTATGGTGCCGTTTCTGGGCAACAATTAGTGTGATGGTTGGATAGTACTTTATACCTCCCAAAGCCCTCTTCAGATCTAGTAACTCTTCATTGAGAACCATATCAAACTGGCCCTCACTGACCCCATCACGGAAGACAACAATTTTGTCCGGCTTGACTTTATTCAATCGCTCATAAGTTTCAACAAGCTCCAGACACATGTCTCCAAAATTCAATATCTTCTCAGTGCGATGGTACTGGGGTCGGACTCGTGCAGCATAACGATTCGCGGCAGGCCAGTTTACAGTGGCAACAACAGCTGCAATTGATGGACTTGTCGTGTTCCGCGCAGCAGGATGATTCACATCAGCCCCCACAAACATAACATGGCCTGCACCCTCAAAGAGGGGAAGAAACCGATCACTTAGCTCTACATTACTGCCTCCAAGCTTGGCATTTATCTTAAGTGCAAGATTTGAAAGATACTGGTCATTTGCTTTGTTAGCCATATTTGACAAGCAGCACTGCGTCACTATACCAATTTGAGTCTCAGAGATCCACTTCAGATACTTGTAACCAGGATCTCTTCGAGTCATTACACAAACAAGTAATTGTAAATGGCCTTTGCTTTTTTTGTATGCCTGTTCATTAATGCTTTCAAGCAGCTGACGAAGCATCTGAACACTAGTGAATGGTCTCATGGAAGTGGCTTCGTACAAAACAGGCTCTCCCATTCTGATTCCCAGTTTGTTGCACTTTGTGATGAGCTTTGGGATGAATTGATTAGGGTCCAGACAGAATCGATCATAACTGCTGAAGTCAAGTACAGCCCAGCGACTGATTGGTTTTCCTTCCACTAGAGACTTCCCAACAAGATTCCAATGGCATTTCTCTCGGTCAACTGTTACCGTAGTCATCCTGCCATCAGCAGAAGGACCCAACTTCAACTCAGGTGGGACAATGACACGCCCTGTTACTGGTGTCATATTCTTGTTGACTACAATTCCAAAATTCCCAATGATGCCACCACTGCCAATAACAAAAGAATCAAAATCATAATTAATCACTGCAGTCTTATGCAGAATTAAGCTACTCAAAATGGTAATAATATCACCCTATTAATAAGCATCTTTTGTGCATAAAAGATGTCGATATTCAATATGCTTAGATTCACTACAACCACTGAGTTTATCTACAACCCATTTACTTGTGCAAGCTACAGAAACCTATAGACTATCATTAATTAAGTTAATACCATTACATGGGAAACAATTCCACTATCACCAGCATGTTCATAAATAGTATTAGAGCAGAATACCAGTTCTCAGCCTTCGGAGGAGTGAACTGCCTGCTGACTAAAATCATAAACACTAATTGTGTTCCGTGCAAGAGGAACAATGAAGTCATGAAAGCTCAAGTAAACAACAGTGGAAGTTTGATAACAATCAAACTTCACTAGGCAAAAATAAAGGACATAAATTTACTTACCCACAAGGTCCATCCTCAGATTGTACCATGCCACGTATCATGTTCTCTCTAATCCCTGGTGAAGGCAATGACATGTCCTTCAGCTTGATAGCTGCATTTCTGTCTAAATTCTCCTTTGGATACCTTTGCCCCTCAACTAAGACACAGAACTCCATCGGTGTATCGTTCTTCCTACCATTTTTCCCCAAATCCAAGCAGGGAATGTTTTTGTACTGGATCTCCTTGTATTTTTCACTGAAATAATCAAGAAGTCTAACTTTCCTAGGTGGACACTGGCCATCTATATCTACAGCATCAAATGTAATATCTCCTGCATTCTTATCAGTCAGCCCCTTGATGATGTACTTTTGCTTGGTTTTCCGGTGAGTCACAGTAACTTTCAATCCCCTCAATACATCCACAACCTCTCTCCTGAACCTAGTGAAATCTTTTAAAGTAAAACCCCTTATCTGCTGTTGGAGAAAATCTATAACTGGCATGCGCTTATGAAATGCCAAGACCGAGTAGTCAAGACACAAAGCAGGACCCTGGGAAGTCAGCCTTAAGCTATGCTGAAACCCTCTAAATGCAGCAATACCATTTCCAAGGTCATCTTTTTCATTAGATTCAGCGGGGTAAAAGTTTCGCCCAACAGAAACCAAGCACCTAGTTGGATTTTCTTTCATCACCAAATCCATACCCTGCAATATATCACGAGGGATAGACAACACATGGCCACTCAAGTACTCCTTCAACTTGCAAAGCTTGAGCTCATTTACAAACTTTATGGTAAATATGTATGAACTGAACCGTGTGTCTTCTTCCGCAGGAACCTCCACCTTAAATGATCCAGTGGGCAACGGCACTGCACTGAAGATGTTTTTTTCACCATCATATGCCGTACTTAACAAGGGAAAATCCGAAGGCTTATCAGAGGATAACTTCTTCCTGATTGCAGAGAGTTCGTACTTCGACATTTTCACAGGACGGCCATTCTTAGCAGGGTTCTCTGGCTTGACATCAACATCATAATGCCTTATAATACTCTCAGGATTGTACGAGAGATTAAAATGGTTGGCACGAAGCCTAGTAGTTCGGATAGCTTTTGTGCCTCCATTATCAGGCCGTTTCACTGGGAGTTTTTTGTCTGTATTGTCCAAAGAGGATGAAGGAGGTGTCTGTTTCGAAATTTCCAGAGCTTGCACTCTGGGAACAAGAGTATCTGTGAAGAAAAAAGAACAAACAAAATGTGTTATAATCACCAAGCCTCATTATTTATATAAATACAAATTGTTAGACTAACTGTAGCAACAAGCTAACATTAAATAGTAACCCAAAAAAAGAAATTCCACTCAACACATTTATGCAGAACGCTTAGTTTTCACATAACGAGACTCAAAATCAAATTATTTATCTAAGGCAAACAGTAATGATCTCTTAGTAAAATCAACCAAATGCTTGATTTATCACCACAATAATCTCTTAGTTAAAGCAAAGTAGTGTAAGCAATAAACACATGATTTATCACCACAATCTCATTATCTACATCCAATACGCAACACATGATAAATACATCATGAATTCAAAATAGTATAACTTGATCAGATCAAAATTAGGGATTCAAAAAGCAATGGCTTACTCTCCAAAGTAAACATTGCCTCACAGTCTATGATATGATCAGTTGCACAAGTTCCAATTGTATCTCAAAAAGGGCCCAAAATGAAGAAGAAAAAAGCGTACCAGGAGTAGGAGAATTGATCGGGGCTGGAGATGCAGGAGCAGCCGCTCTGGGCCCCCAAGCCGCCACACGAGGAGTAGGAGAGTTGATCGATGCTGGAGATGCCGGAGAAGCCGCTCTGGGCCCCCACGCAGCCATACTAGGAGGAGCAGGAGAGCTAATCGGTGCCGGAGATGCAGGAGAAGCCGCTCTGGGCCCCCACGCTCTGTTGGGAGCAGAAGTGCTCCATGGAGAAGGCCTCCCTGGCGGGCCCCAACTCTGATTCGGTTGTTGTTGTTGTTGATGATACTGCTGCTGCGGCGGCGGCTGCTGATGCTGCGGCGGTGGTTGTTGTTGATGGTGGTACGGGGACTCACCACCATGACCGCCATAACCACCTCCTCCTCCACCTCTATTTCCACTTCCTCTGCCGTAGCCACCATAATCACCTATGTCACCACCACCATTACTGCTGCCTCTACCTCTTCCTCTTCCTCTTCCTCTTCCTCTATTTCCACCACCACCTCTTTCCATTGGAGAATCGGGAGCAAACTCAAAAACAATCGAAAAGAAAACTTGCCTCAAACTGGTACTCTCTGAACTCACAAAAACAAAAAATGTAGGAACTGTGAGCGAGAGGAGGATTTGGTTTCTTTATAAAGGGTCCTGGGGGAAATGACGATCTTATCCCTGCGCGGTTGTCTTAGTCCCGAAGGAGTCAACCAGGAAGGAGACGTGTGAGTGGGAGCGGTTTTGGAAAATGATTTTGGATTTTTGGTGGAAAGTCCAGAAGCTTCGATGGAACAGAGAGCGTGGGTGGGTCCCGCTTTGACACTTGCTGTGAAATCGGACAAAGGAAAGGAATGCGTGCCTTAGGACGGAGGATTTAATGACATTCTCTTTCTATCTCATCTTTCTTTTTTCCTCTTTATCTAATATTTTTGGGACTGATTTCTTCCCATTATTACGATTCTATTCTTCTCATTTATCGATTTCTACGAAAAAAAACAAGAGATTCCATTTCACGTTTTGGATTCCGACATTAATCGATCACTATTATTCTTATTATTCTTATTATTCGTTGTATTAAATGAATATTATATCTAATCAAGTAATTGACACATTCCTTGAATTATTATAAATAAATAAAAACTTTTTTTTTTAATCAAAATTATTATAAAAACTTTAGTACACTTTACATAGAATAGAACTTTTTTTTTTTTTTTATCAATATTCAATTAACCTATATCCCTCATCCAAGGAAAGAGCAATTCTCCCTCCGCTAGTGTTATTAATCACTAATTATCGCTATAAAGATATTACATAAAAGACTACCATAATTTAGAACTGGTTTGGAAGTGCTTATACATAAGTAATTTTAGCATAATCGCTTTATGCTAGGAGCGCTTTTACATAGAATCATTTTATTGTTTGAATGCCAACATTAAAGTGCTTTTACACTAAAATATTTTCCCACTTACCCTCCGTATATTATATCCAAAGCATTCACTAATTCAAACACTAATCCACTAAACTCTTTTTTCCACCCTCCAATACTATCAACGCACCCGTATGTGTTTCTTCTTGCACAATCTTCTTACAAGCCCATAAATCATATTCATCCTACTTTCGCATCCATCCATTACAAGGTACGTTAATTTTATATACTATTTTACTGTCGTATTTTGGATTGAGACATTATTTTTACTGTTTTGTGCCTCTCGAACTCTTACATTTTCTTCTGTACTTTTGTTAAAAAATAATTCAGTTTTACTTTGTTTTTTTTTTAATTTATATCTTTCTGTATATGAATTTTCGAGCTTGTGCATGCCTTTCTTTGTATTTTTTTCCCTTAGGAAATTCACAAGCCAAGACTATGATTTAGGGTTTTTTTTAAAGGATTTAGTGTCTTGTGTAGTTTTTTATTTTTTTAATTAATTGAATATCAATGATTCGAATTTAGAATCTCTTTCAATATTTTAAAAAGAAATACGACTCAAATATTTTATTTTATTCTTTAATTTAGACCTTCTGTTTTGCAAAAAGGTAGGTGCAGTGCAAACATAATAATATCCTGGGGGTTTGGAACAGCTCCACTCAATTACAATATCAATTTACCTTGTTTTATTCAACTTCTCGAATATAAATATTAAAAAATTCTTTTTGTTTACATGATCATGGTTGACGTCCATGATGTTGCTGTCATGGCCTTAGGTCATACACGTCATTTTCATGCCCTTTACATATATATATATATGGGCAGCAGTGAGCCTGATGACCCAGATCAATCTTCTATCACACTTTTATAAGCCCAACCCAAGTCAACAATGTCCAAACCCCAATAAACCAGCTAGGGTTTGCAAGTCCAATCTTCTATCACACCACGATCTGTCATTTGGTCATATTTTTATTCACAACACAACTAACCTTTTGGGATTGAAAAATTATATCAATTTGAAACCACATTTATGGGTTTAACATGTAGGATTATTTTTCAAGTGCATGTGTTTTAGGAACAATGTCTAAAATATCGATGATATCGGAAATATCGGTAATCCAAAAATATGGAAATTTCGATGGAAATATCGGGATATTATCGATATCGATAAAAATTGAATGAAAACCACGAAAATTGTAAGAAAAACTTGAAAAATTTTATTGGAACTTTGGAGAATGTTTATTTAGTCAATTATTTATTAGTTTATCACAAAAAATTAGAATGAAATGCATTGCATGATGGATTTAACTGATTTAAGTTGATTATACAGCGAGTTAGCAAACACTGTGAGTGTAAAAAATATGTAGTAATTAATGAAAGAAGATTAAACACACTATAATCATTTATATATAATGATTTACTACAATATTTTACACTTTATATAGTACATGGTAAGATACATGAGTGACTTAGTACCACATAGAGTTCCTATAAGGTTCAAAATTTTCACTATCTTCATCATCTCTATGTGTAGAGTAAGTGTATTGTGAAGAGCAGTCATCAAATGATAAATCCCCAAAATAGTTTTGCATGTAATTGTTAACGCGCCACCCATATAAATATAAATATTTTAGCATATTATCATAAAAACATAAATGATATAGTAGTTAAGGTATTTGTGGAGTAAAATGGGAGGGGTTCAAATCCCCGCCTCCAAAAAAAGAAAGGACTTTAACGGTTGACCAATAGACTCATTTTGTAAACGTAAATTCTATTTTAGTTCTTTGTGAGTTCAAGTTTAATGGTGTTGTGAAGTTGTGATTCGTGAGGAGGAGATTTGTGTTTTCTGTATATTTTATTAGCGCATGCAACAACTTGTGAGACAATATGAACATATTTAGGCAGAGTAATTCCAACTTCCAAGCCGCGGGGGTGGAGATGCCCATGCTGCGTTGCAGCTTGTGATTGTGATTGTGGACCACACCACACACGGTTTTATCTCTTTTTCTCTGTCTCACCACACATATATCCTGCTTGCACTGCATTTCCTCCTTGTCATGTGAGCCAAAATGCGACAATATATAAAGAAAGAGACAGATGAATGAGGTGATCTGATCATATTTTTGTTTATTTGTTTTTAGAGAGAGCATGTCAATTCAATCCCAATTTACACTTGGACCACAGCCATCACTGACATGATCGTCTCCAATTATTTTTTTGGGGGTTTTGTTCTCTCCAAGGTACATCATCTTTTCATTTTGTCCACTAGGTTAAGTTAATTTCTTATTTATTTAAAGATAATGGAAGTTAGAGTCCAAGGTTTCTGGTTTCCTTTGTATGACGTTACTGACCATAGGATGACATAGTATACTCACATAGTGCAAATTTACTCAAATAGTAACTTTTCGGAGTTTAATTTAAAGTTATTAACATGCTATGTGGTGTTAGAAGAAATGACGTTTTTCTCCTGAATGATAAAATGAATAGTACCGTTCTCTTGAATCATAGGGTCTAAGAGACTTGTGGTCATTCACCCTTGAATTTAATCAAAGAGCTAAGAAAAAATTATTTTAAAATATCTTTCTTCTTTTACTTTTTAAATTTCACTTAACAAAAAAAGGTAAAAATTAAAAACTAAAACCCCAAAATATGTTCTTCTTCCTCTTGTCACTACCCTCCTACTTCCTCCCATCGCTGCAACCACAACAACTCTGACTCCGTGGTTGCGAGCGAAAATCCGGAGCGACTCATTCCCTTGCACTTCAACAACGTCAGTTTCTTGCTCTTCTTCAATTTTTCACTCAATTTTAGGATTTTCGCTCGCAACGCCAGAGTCAGAGTTGTTGTGGCTACAACCAGTGGCGAAGCCACCTAAGGACCAGGGTAGGCTCAGGCCCTCTCACATATTTTTTATTTTCTCATATTTTTACTTTTTGGGGTAAAAACTCTTTAATTTTTTTGTTCTCATTCTCTTCCTCTTTTGATTAACTTAAGCTTTGTGAATTTTCCTCTCCCCAATTTTACATGTCTAAGTAGGGCACCTTAATATTAGGATTTATGAACATTGGTTGTATTTCTTCTATCTATTGAAGTATAAATTATTAAATTTTGAGTCTTTAATAGTGTAGATGATGAGATTAATTAATATTCAACCATTTTAAAATATGAAATTTAGGACAATTATGATTGTAAAAAATTGATAAATTATTAATCAATATGAAATGATATTATTAATTAACCCCGTTAGCCCTTGAGGACTCCTATTTGAATTATTTTAAATTTTTTTGTGAAGGGCTCACTCTAATGTGAAATCCTAGCTCCGTCACTGGTTGCATGGGGTGAAGCAGGAGGAAGAAGAACATATTGTTTTACTCTTTTTTGTTAAGTGAAATTTAAAAAATAAAAGAAAAAAGATATTTTAAAATAAATTTTTCTCAACCCTTGGATTAAATCCAAGAGTGGGTGATCACAAGTCTCTTGGACCCCTGTGATCCAAGAGAACGAACTAATAAAATGAAATTATGTTCTCCAACTAACATTCAAAAGGGAATGATCTTCTTAATTATTAACTAGAAAACTAATTTTTGTATGAAAATTCAGAAACCAAATTTTAATCAAGTCGTTTACTCTTGTAACTTTTGGTTTTGACTAAATTTGCATAAGATGTAGAGCGAAAGTGCTGCTATTTTATTTGAAAAAATCCTCTTGACTTTTTCAAATAAGCTAAGCTAGCTTCCTATCTAGGGTATCAAATCCCACGTTCATTGCGAATGGCAGGTTTCACGGGATAGGAAAGAACCACCTTTCCCTCTCATAGACTCATACCATTTGGGTTTTGGTTGTATAACTGAAGCATCCTCCTTCCCTTTAACCTTCACCAAGGATGAAAAGAAAACAAACAAGTCACGAGAAAGTAGAATGAAGAGCCAAAATTTTCCTTTCTTTTTTGGGTATTTATTGGGGTAAGAGGTTTTAAATTTGTGTGCGCTCAAAAGTTAAAGAGGAGAGACTAGGAGGTTTTGAAGGGCAGTTGAGAAAACGATAGTGATAAAGAAGTGGTAGCCACACCATGAATACATGTTTTGTGATGTGACTAAACAAATAATTAGTTGGCCAAATATGTTTGTTATTCGTTGTCGTATTTTCATCAAATATTTAGAATTTCATATGTCTTCTGTTAAATTATTTTTTATCAAACAATACAGTTACAGAACTGGTATACAAAAGTGGTCTCGTTAAAATCTTCTTAAAGAAAATTCAATAAATAAAAAACTTCGAGATAAAAAAAAGTATCACACATATCATTACAATGAAGCTAACACACAGCTATTTCGCGGTGTTATTTGAAGAAACTACTCCACGGTGTTATTGCCTTGGTAAAGTTATGTAATGGTATGTATATGATGTGTTATTCAAATACAAATGAAGTTATCAATAAATAAATAAAAAGTAGTTAGTTTACTTGGCATATTTAGGGATAAAAAAGTGCATATGTATTTTATATATTTTTAATGAGTTGTTCATAGCATTTCTCACCGGGCATAAAGACATGCAGCCAAAAGTATACTAAATCAAAGAAGTGATTGATTGAACTTGTATTTTACTCAAATTGCAGCACTTTTCCCCGTCCACTTAGGCTTTTAACAGTCTCCATTAATAATTAAGAAAATCGGATTTGGTTGTTTTTATTGTACTTAATCATGATCTTCGTCCATGATTATATACCGAATCCCCCCACTAGCAATTTGACAAATAGATGACAGCCGAGCTAACTTATCTCATGTCAAAGTGGGAACATCGAAAATTGCCACCAGAAAGATTTAATAATAATAATAATATATGGTTGTTTTGTTGTTGGCAACGACTTCGCTTGAGATTTGGAAACGGCTACCGATTTCTTTGAACTTGTTTAATTTTGCGGATCAGTCAAGTCTCAAGTTTTAGAGTAAGAATGTAGAAGAAGGGCCACTATAAAGAAACGTTGAAGAAAAAAATGCCTCGACATCCACATGCCATACATACCTTCCCATCGTAAATCCCATCGTAAACATACATACCTTCCCCAGGTCCCAACTGACAAAGGTCTCCCTCTCCACGTTTTTGTTTTTTGGGATTTTGTCTAGGTTAGTTACACAGATATTTTTTTTATACGTGAGCAATTTCTAACTGTAATCAATTTAAATACATATATAAAGAAAAATTAACCACACAAGTCCGTAACCCTAAAAAACATATATAAATCACATATGAAATAAATAAATCAAATATGCAGATCACATATTTATCATACAAAGTCGAATTTTGTACATGCACAAATCCAAATTAAGACATGCATATAAGATATATTTAATGTTTTGTAATTCCAACTTCAGACATTTGAATTTATAGGTTATCTTTTTTATATTTATTTATGGGGTTTTCTCATGCACTCCCCTGTACAAGGTATGGCAGAGGAATGAGATTTTTTATATGTCCTTCTTTGCCTTGGCTGATTGGACAGTTGCATGGCTCACACATCTCTGAGGTCCTTTTCACTACCCTTTTGGTCTGTTTTGCCAATTCCCAATAACATCATTTTTTTCTACATTATTTTATTGCCCTTCTTGAATCATCTTCCTCTTCCTCTCTTTTTTATTTTTTATTGTTGATAAATTTGTTGTTATTATTACATTTACAAACTTCCATTAGTTTTATTTATTAAAATATGATGTTCTTTGTTGTCATGATAGTGATGGGTTGGCATGCTCTCCGGACTTCTGGCTTTTCTGGATTTCTTTGACACATGTTCATCTTCTTCCTGTGTGGTGTCTTTTGCTTTCTGGGTTGTCCTCAGAATTCAGAATTCAGACAGTTACAGTTTATCATAAAACAATTTGGATTCAGAGTCACAATTGAGCTCTTATTGAAATTTTTTCTCTGTGGAGTTATTTGTTGGTGGGGATTCTGTCAGGAATTCAATTCCCCAAGGTGAGTTTATGCAATTTTTGGCTCATTTATGAAAACTCTCTCTCTCTCTCTCTCTCTCTCTCTCTCTCTTCTTTGTTTTATAGCAACATCTGCAGGTCATCTGCAGGCTTTGAAATTACATGTTGTTTTCTTCTATCGAATTGTGGGGTCAAAAAGAGACGACTTTAATGGTTTCCTGATTGAATTTGGATTGCAGTTCACATGCGCGCTTTTCTCGGAGCCATCTGTTTTTTAATTTGGCAATTGGGTCAGAGTGAAAAATTGCTTCTTTCAACCAATTCAGGATTACTTTGTGAAAAACAGGTAACTTCTGTTTTCAAAATTTTATCTGCAATCCTTATTGAATTTGATTTCTGCTGAGTTTCCTTCTTTCCTTCTAATTTCTATATATTTATTGGATCCTGTAAATTTTCATGTCTCACAGTCATCTTTGAATTCAACTGGTGCAACAATCCTTGATAAGAAACCTTGGAATTTCATACGCTTCAAAAATTGCTGCTCTGGTTTTTTGCAAATTGCTCATGATGATTGTGTCAGATGAGTTTTATGTGCTTGGGATGATTTAAAATTCTGGGTTTTGTGGGTTGAATCTTAAATGGACGTGCCTCCTTATTGTAAGCATTTCAAAGTACTCGGTTGCCACTTGAACTCCTTTGCATGCAAATGTGTTGTTTTAGCTTCCATTGCTCTGATTCTCAGAGCTGTTCTGCTTCCTACGTTCCATAGTTTTGGTGGAGCTGAACAGAGCAAGTTGGTCTTCATCAGTAACCTCCCTTTGTCACTCGGTCAGAAATTCGGAATTAGAAAAGATAAGTTTCTGGAGGTTCCTCAAATTGTATGGGGCTTAAACAATCAAAAGATTGCGTTTGCAAGAGCTTGTTTAACTGCAAGGTTTCTGAACCGGACTCTTTTGATGCCTAGCTTGAGTGCTTCCCTGTTTTACAAAGAAGTCGAGCTCTTGGAGCCTATTTCCTTTGATAAGGTGTTCCAGTTCAAGAAGTTTAATTCTCTCTGTAATGGCTTTGTTCAACTGGGCGAGTTCTCGGATCTTAGAAACCGAACGGGAGCCTTTGAGCTTCAGAAAGGAAGTGGAAGGAGGTGGACACCTGAGAGAGATTTGGATCAGTTGAAACAGCACAATGAGGATCCATATAATGAGTTTGAGGTGATTCGAATCATTGGAAAGAACCCCTTTCTGTGGCACGATCATTGGCCTGTGAAGGACTATGCGAAGGTGTTTGAGTGCTTGGTTCTGGTTGATGAGATAATGAATGAAGCAGATAAAGTTGTGTCCAGGATTAGAGAGATAGGAGCAGCACAAGTGAGAAGCCAGAATGAGTCTCCACAAAATGGCATTAACCGGGCAGAGAAGCCTCTCTTGCAGCCAGTGCCTTATGTGGCTGTACATATGAGGATAGAGATAGACTGGATGATTCATTGTAAGAAGCTAGAGCAAAGATCAAACATAACCCAAATTTGTAGCAGCAAGGAGGAGATCATGGAGAGAGTGGGCAACATTGCTGGCCTGAAAACACCGGTCGTTGTTTATTTAGCTGTAGCTGATAGTCTTCTTCATGATCCATCTATTTTGGGTGGCTGGAAGGAAGGCTTGATTCCTTATGAGAAGAAGAAATTGGGGTTTGAAGGGACTTTCAAGAAGTTCCCTTATCTCATTCAGTCTGCAATTGACTATGAAGTGTGTTTAAGGGCCGATGTCTTTGTGGGAAACAGTTTCTCCACATTTTCGAACCTTATAGTTCTCGATCGAACACAGAAGCTCATTAGAATGGGCGTCACAAGCTCATGTGGTGTGGATGTAAGGTGGCCTTCTTATGCATACAACATATTAGGGGAAGCAAAAGGCCCTCAAAGATGGATGACAAACATGTCTGGCTCAAGTCTGCAAGCAATTAGCTATGGCTCCAATGACATTTCGTGTTGTGTTGATCCTTAGTTTTTCCATTGGTGGACATGTTCAAGGCTCCACCACTTCTTGTAATCTACATCATCCCGTCCCTCCGGCGCAATATTTTCGGTATAGTTACAAAGTTCTTTTTCCCCTTTTTAGAGATCGTTAAAATAGCTGTTGAATGGATGTAAATTTATTTTTTTTTATTTCAAATGTAAGTTCCATTCTATTGGTTTTTTCATCTTGATGGCATATATTTTTTTCCTCTCCGGGTTGGATTCTCACTATTTGTTAGTGAATGTTACTATTCTCTTGGCATGAATTCTTGTAGGATATTGATTTTATTGTGTTTGTAAAACAAGAGCATGGCCTCATAAAAAATTTGACAGGAAATGGAGTTTTTTTTATGTTGCTTATCCAAATACAAGCTTTCTAACCCCTTTTTCCTTCTCTGTATCTCTCTGCACCTGTTTTCTTTCCATAATTGAAGGATGATGGTACAGATGACCAATACAAACAGATAAAACAAAGAAGGAAATGGAATGGGACAGTCTTTAGCACAAGCAAGGAATTAAGTTATTTGGTACTTGAGTTTTGATTCTTGTGGTGGGTCATGTCCTTGGCTCTCAACTTTGAGCTTTTTTGGCCCATCATCTGTGTGTATTTATTTGACTTATTGAACATTCTTGCTCATTATGTTTCTTTGCTTCCCAGTGGGACCTCAATGCTGGGTTTTGGCTGTTTTTTCTTTGTTGATTAGCCCTCAAACTTCAGACATCAAGATCTGTAAAGGGGTCAATCTAATTTGCAATTTGCTTTCAATTAGACAAGTTTTTGGGCATTTTAGGCACTATTGCTTTATACAGGGCAACTTCAAAGTTCAAATTTTGGCTTTAAAGGCCACAAACTTGAGACCCTGTGAGGCTTTGAGAAAAATGTTTAGGGACTCTGGATCAAAGTTGTAATCTTTATGCATTAATTGGCTAACTGGCCATTGGAAAGCTTAAATTGGACAACTTATCTGCTGCATGGTACTTGTTTCTATTTCTATTGCAGAAAACACAACATAACAGATGATCTTCTCCAATATTAATTAAGGACCTTTCTGAATTTCATCTATAAATATCCAATGGTGAAAAGAAAAACAAAAGGTGTTTGGCATGGCCCAAAATGGGCCAAACCCAATTATTGGAGCAAGATATGATTCGGCCTGTGGGTTCAAGTTGGTCCAACCAAAGTGAGCAAAGAAACTCCCAGTGATCCAAAATTTATAAAGTGCTTGAACCTTGGTAGGGATGTGAGACTTGAATTTCGCTAGATGATTTTGTGGTGAAAATATATTTGGGAGAAAAAGTTGCAGATGGGTCCCAAACATACCCAACAAACTCATTTTCATGTCGATTTGTAGGTTTGATATAATTGAAGCCACTCACTCTTGCACGAAATTTCTATTTAACATCTAGAAAGGGTTTGATTGAAGCCACCCTACTAACAGCTACCCCTTATCCAAAATGAGACGTGTCCTGTAAACACTTCACAAAAACAAACAACACATTCACCACTACAACAATCACAATAATGACTTGTTCCGGTTGTTAATGGTGGTGGGTGAGTTTGGTATCTTTCCCCACTTACTTATAATGGGAAGCAAGCAGGAAGCAAGATGCAAGATGGGACAACTAAGCGCAATGCATATTGTCATGAAAAAGAAAGCTCAATAAAAACAACCATATTTTTGGTTACTTTTAAATAATTGAGGTGGAGAATCAACTCTTACTTTGATGAGTATTTACAGTGTTTCCCTTCTCACAGAGAGAGAGAGAGAGAGAGAGAGAGAGCATATAAAATGGAAATACATTTATGGCATTTTAATTCACTAACATGATAAATGTTCTTTCAATTCAATTCACTATCTTTTTTTCTTTTCTTTTCCTCTGTCTTTCAAGAAGAACGCGATCATCAAGAATAGATGCTTCCCCTTCTATGGTACACACAAGGGACCTTGATGGTCACAAGTTTTATCTTAACACAATGATCATGAAACTACAAAGGAAAAGAGTTATCTTCATGACCATGAAATTGGAGTGAATAGAGCGAGGAACTCTTTACTCTTTCTTATGCGAAAAGTATTGGTGGGAAGCTATGCAGATTATTTTCCAACTTCAGGAGCCCTATAATTCATTGGATGTATTCTTCATAGTAGTTATCACTTATCACGGAAACGAACCTCTCGAGCCAAGGAAGCTGATGGAGATCTTTCATTGCATCTACGTAGGAATCTGTACAGCGGGGTGGGGATTGGTAAGGGGGGTGGTCACTTAAACTGAAACCCCCAGCTAGGAACCTCTGGATCAGTGCCAATTGTGATCTCTCTTGGTCTGAGTATGCGTCCATTATCATGGGGAGCGAATTGAATGTTTCCCATGCCCATTGCTCAGATTCTTGCATAGACTGAGTGACCAAGTCTTCTGTGTTGTTGTTGTCTTCATCCCAAAAGGCACATTGACAAGTCTGTTGGCCACCCCTATATTCAGCACCACAAGAATAACAGAACTCATGCCTACACCTGCACATGAGCAACATCAAAAGCTCAGTAAAGATTCAAGACCTTATAATGAAAAGTAGACTTAACATGGTGAACATAACATGCTTCTGTATTGAACATGTGCAAATGTATAACAGACATAAGCATTACAAACAAAGGTGATTAAACTTAAATTTTACTCACAGAACATCATATGCTCCTTGTTTACATGTGCATATGCATAATGGATGAAAGCATCACAACCAAAGGTGAAACTACAGAATATTTTTCTTATTCAAATAGTCAATTTATGATTCAATAAAACCAACTAAAGCTGTCTTAATTCAATCAGCTTTAATCATAGTCAGGTACTACTTTCTCCTAGAGGTTCCCCTACACACATTTTGCCCTCTGCATAGGGTGACACCATTTTGTCCAAGCGGGTATAAAAAATTGTATTTTGAAAAAATTTCTCAAACAAAAAAGAAACCTGAGATCTGAAATGATTAAGTAGTTTCCATCCAGTTCAACTGTCACAGTATTTGAGTTTAACACTTTAACCATAAGTATGGGTTACGATTGAGTCCATATGGGGTTCTCAACCCACTTAGTCAATGTTTTCAATAATACAATAGTATGTGTAATGAAAGTGATCTTACCAGCATGTCATGTGGTAGCAACCTTGAGTGAGCTCGATCATCCTACGACACTGCTGGCAACGTCTCCAACTTTTATTTTGTGCTAGGCGATGTAAGGTAATGTCTGCAGCATCTCTCTCTTCCAATGGGAGGTTTTGGAACTCCTCACAGCTCATAGATGAATGCCAAGGTACACCACAATCTACACAGATGAATCTCTGACAAACTGGACAGTCAATGCAGCTGTTATCTGACTGACTTGATGAACTTGCCCTAGCTGACAAACATTCGAGAGGATCAAGCAGGACAGAACAATTTGGATATGGGCAGTAAATTCTATCTGAGTGGAGAATATTTGCTTCTGCGAGGGCTTTCTCCAATGATTCATAAGAAGTGAGTGGAAGAAAAGATTTGCACTCAGCAGTGGAGATGTAATACTTGCACCTCGGCTGAGGACATCTGATGGGGACTTGCGAGGACTGTACCTTCCCATCAACGTATGTCCTCATGCAATGCGAACAGAACTTATGAGAACATTTCATGGTGATCATCATTAGGGATGGTTTATCGTCACAACAGATGGAACAGTTTTCAAGTGATTCAACACCCTTAGCAGGAAAAGAGACAACTCCAATTGCCACTTGGGCTAATTTTGATGGCCGCTCAAGATCTACAGTGGGGACAAGTTTCAGAACAAAAGCATCGAGATGACTGGCATGCTCTAGGATCCTTTGCCTCAGCGCTACTAGGAGTGGAATTTCAAGTTTCTGCTCATGTGATACCTGTCAAAAACTCAAGTCATTAAAGCAAACTTGACATGCAATAAGACGATTTGAATAATTTAATGCTAGTGCTACAACTCAAATGAAGTAAGGTGAAATAATCCTCAGTAGCAATCACTCGAAGTGTATTGCTGAAAGTTAAAAGGTTTTATCCATCACTCAACCTATAAAATTGTGTTGTTAAAAATAATGTTAACCCCTTTTTTCGTCAATAAATTCATGCGGTCACAAATGCTGAAATTGCAATGGATAATTTGGCAAAGAATTTATGAAAATCAGCCACCCAAAAATCAAGGCTAGCAGAATTATTGGCTTCATATTTAATACGTCTTCTAAAGTGGTAACCAAAATGAACAAAGAAAGTTAACTCTTTCACAGAGAAGGACTCACCTGATCATATAGCAGCTCAGAATCTGTGAATGCATAAACCCGGCGGACTTTATTTTGCACAGCTTCCATTAGGCCATCCATCAGGGCTAAATAGTCAGCCACAGGCTCCTCCACATAAAAATCAAGCCTTTTCTGCACCTGAATTGCAGGAACATTGGTTGACCTTTCCATGACAACTCCAATTCCAGAAAGCCTGAAATCTGAGTCCCCATGCCCAGCTATGGACATGCCTTTGAAGAACATCTTCACTGAAAATTCATCGAGATCATCTTTTGGATCCACCTTCACCGGTTCTTCGGTCTCCTTCCAAACTTCATCATCTTCGCAACAACTACGAAACTCTTCTTCATCTTCCTCTCTGAGTAAATTTACAGAAACCTCATCACCAAAACTTGCCTGACTCTCCATTTACACAACAGCTCTGGAATTCTAAAACTTGAAGCTGTGATTGTTACCAAAATTCAACCACAACTTGTCAACCAAACAATCTGAAGCTCTGTACTTTCAGAAGTCAAATCTCTCAAAATCACAAACAACAATTCATTTCAATCACTGATCTTTCAGAGCCTATCTCCAAATCATCATACCAAAAAAAACCCTCCAAGGAATCGATCCAGAACTGCAGCCAATTGTAGCATCACCTCCACCTATAAATACGACAAAGAAATACTGATCTCAGATTCAGCTCCTAAATCCAAATCGATAAACAAGGAAAACCCATCAACGAATTCATCCAAATGAGCCAAAAATCCGTACTTTACCTTATATATTCCCCAAATCCCAAAAGATACATAATTGTTAGCTCTTCCACATAAACAAAAATCAAACCAAAATAGAAAGAGAGAGGACTAATTTTCAATCCCTCCAAAACTGTACAAAATTTCAAAGCTATTTTTTGAAAACAACAATGAAGAAAAGAAAAGGATAAGATACAAAAATAGGAAAGGGTATCATATTGGAAGGGTAACTGGGCAAGAACGAAGTACAGGTTCCATTACCTTATCCGGAGGGAACTAAAGTCTCCGGAATCAGATTCCTGTTGGGGTCTGAAATCTGAAATGGTGTCTTGTAATTGTAGCAAAATAGTAGAATAATAAGAACCCTAATCTGACAAATTTCAACCTTTGGTGGCTCACCCACTTACAAGATGCTGTTTTTATTCTATTCTTTTACTGGGATTAGATCAAAGATCAAAGATTTTATTACTTATTAGGATGGTGAGAGCTGAGAAGAGAATCCTTAGACTTACTATTGCAGTTACTGGCGTTAGAGGAAAGTTAGAATGCCTTTGGCCTTTTGCTTTGTTGGCATTCTCTCTCTTCCTAAACACATGCACTCTGGATTTCTTCAATTCTCCACCTTCCCTTTTATTTTGTCCATATTTACCCAAAAAATACAAAATATCCTCTCTTTTTTTTTTATTTGCATACGCCTATTAAATGCAAGATTCCCTTTTTTTAATTTAATAAAATTACATTTTTTTAAGTTTGTACTTAATTTTCTCAATATAATCTAGTGGTATTTGTCTGTCTCAATTTCAACTCACATGGAGTCACATATACATGCACTTTAGATTTCTTCAATTCTCTACATTCTCTTTTATTTTCTCCATATTTACCCAAGAAGATACAAAATATATCCTTGGATTTATTATATTTGCACACTTATTATATCAAGATTCTGTTTTTTCATATGATAAAATTACATTGTTTTAAGTTTTTACTTAATTTTCTCAATATGATTTAGTGGTATTTGTCTCCGATTAGCTTGAGGAAATCTCAAGTTTAACTCACATGGATATATACGAAGAGCTTCCATTGAGAGCCACCCTTGTATGACCTCCTCCACATTGTATTTCACTAATCCAAATCGTGTATTTTGTAGATATTCATTCAAATAACAAAAACTCAATTGAATCCGATATAATTTTACAACTCAATTAAATTATTGAAATTTTAGTACTTTCTTGAAGTAGCATGTTCATTGATTTTATTAGACACAATTAGATGATTTCCAATTTGTCTATGAATGATTTATGAATGAAAACCTAAAAAATAAATGGTTTGGAACATTTAAAAAAAAAATCGTAAGGTATCCTAAAGAGCATCCCTCAAACAAAATTATTAAAGGGATCCCTCAATAAAAGGGGATTGCATATATATAAATCTTAAACACTAAAATCAACGTCATTTTATCATAAACATAAGTATTAACATGCAAAAACATAACGAAAACCCTCTTTTCATCTAACACGCCACTCCAACCTCCTTTGCCACTTCAGCTACTCCCAATCCCAAAGGTTTTGTGTATGTAGCATATTTGACAAAATGTGCCGTGTGATTAGGGAAAGTAGAAAGGTGAAAATGGGAGATAGAGGAGAGTAAATAAAATGGAGGGAGATGAGATCCCTCCAAACCAGGATCACAAAGTCCAATTTGTCTTCTTTTGGATTGATTGATGGACATCTTACACCGTTCTTTTCTTGATCGTTTTCTCATGTTTAAACCTCTCTTTCCTTCCATTTTCCCATCATTCTTCTCATTAAACAGTTTTAGTTGTAGAATTAAAACAGTATAGCATTATTTAGCTGGAATGTTTCAAGTGTTGCAGATATTCCACTAATTGTTCAGAGCATTACTGTATGAAATATGACTGAATGGAACTTGGAAGAAAAATAAACGCATTAAGACAAAACCCCTAAGATTCTCAGCCAGAAAGCTGGGTTGGAGTTGGAGAAACCTATGCAGTATGCACATGGTGTTTGTCTATTTTGCTGAAGAAAATGTGACTTTGTTCTTGACTTTTTTCAGCGTCCTGGCAATCAGTTTTTTATATATATATTATTAGAGTTAAACAATCCCTGTAACAGTGGATTAAAAAAATGAGAATTAATGATTACCAACCCTATCTTCTTAATATTTAATTTGTGAAATTGACTTCCAAGTTCCAAGCATGTTTTCTGTTTACCCATTTCTTATGACTGAGATTGGAAATTTAAACCCTTTCCCGGTCATCATCATTCTGCAGCCACTTCAAATCTGAAAACTAGATCCATATATGACTTAACTTTAAAAACCCGGGAGTTAATTAACAAATGTTTAATGACTAATTTAACAAATGTGGAAACTATTTACCACAAAATTCAAATGTGAATGCAATGTACCTCTTTGCAGTTTGTACCTAATCGCTTTTCTTGTACAGCTTTACACTTTACAGGTTGACAATCAATCATCAATCATGCTATTAAAAAAAATCATCATGTTTGCTTATAGAGTTTGGTTTAAGCTTTAAGGTGGGGTACTCTATACTTACAGAGGAAAGGGACTTGACTCTATGATTGCCTTCAAATAGTGACTTGCTCAAAAACGATGTGTCGTTGCATTTAAGTAAGGAGGGTCACGAAAAAAGAAGAAGAAGAAACTAACTAATTTATAACAGAGAAATATTCACAAATTATGATATTGGTGATTCATGGTATGATAAAATGTTGTCAAACTGTCAATTTGAAGAAATGAAGTTAATTATTGTTTAAATGTATATGTTTTTTTACCAATAAAAAGTGTATGTGTTTAAGATCGACAGTCTAATTTTGTTACGTAACATTTTTAGATTTTTTTATACAAGAATATTAATTAAATATAATACTCAAGTTGGATAAATTATGGACGGTTCAATTTTGTTTTCTCTTTTTGGAAAAATATTAGTTCCAAAATGACAAACCCTTTTGTTAATAAAAGTTCCATGAAGTAGGAATTAGTCGTGTCTATGATGAAGAAGGAATCAAAGCAGTCAACTGTGGTGCATAGTGTGTGACTTGTCTTTAGGGTTAATGTTCATCAATTCTATCCTCATCATTTGTCCTTGCAATTTTATTCTGTCAAAAATGGGTCCTTTAAGTTTTGACTGGTGCAACAAAACGACAACGTGGCTGGTAGAGATTGGAACTTTCGGTGTTCCAAACGTGGCACTATGTTCTAGTTGACTTGTTAGCTTTTTTTTTTTTTTTTTTTTTTTTTTAATTTTAATGGGGTCCAACACAGTGGAAAAGAGTCTTAACTTACAGACAAGAAGTCTCATGTTCGAACCATCATAGCATCATTTGTGTATGAGAGAAATCTCCCTCTCCTTTGGTTTAAACTACCACATGTACTAAAAAAATAAATTATTTTGATCTATTTCCATTTACATTTTCAAGCACATTCTATAAAGTTAAAAAGTAAAAACAAATTTACACTTCTTTTGGACGAGTCTAATTTTCCGTGTGGCCCCTGTTACTTATCTAAACTCTCACACCTGTCCCTACACTTAACCTCTAAGTTAACAATGTTAACTTTTAATAAAATTAACAATAAAGACAGAAACAAAAACAAATTATTAAACAGCCACCAAAGCTCTGCACCCACTCAACCCCCATGAGAAATTGTTTCTTAATCCTCTTTATTGTCAAAGCAGTATTTTTTATTTTTCAAATTTTTTTATATTTATAAGATACTTTTATAACAGGCCAACAACAGACCATCAAACAAAAAGATAAAAAATTATCTTTATGAATCATGCATAGGATTTTCTATTGGGCCTGAATTTAAGGGTGTTGGGTTATCCAGAACCCAATATCAAATGCTCCTGCAATTCATGGGCTTTTCCTTTGGGCCTTATTTCCTAATCCATTGGAAACCCATGAGATATTGAGAAAGCAAAACCACTGTGCAAAAGTTTGAATAAACTTCTGCTTTTCTTTAATATTTCTCATAATTTCAATTTCCTTTTGTTTCTTTATTTGCTCATGAAACTTGAAACAAGGAAGTTTGGCTATTTATAGCACTTGAGGAAATCACAATACAAAAGTGACAACACAAAAAGATCGACCTGTGGAAACATATAACGTTCATAAACCTAAAACTTGAGGAAATCAAAACACATATTATAAGTGCAATATATAACATTGCTTTTCAGATCATGGCATGAATAATTTATTGGTCTTATAATTAAGCCCATTTTGCCAATACAGACATGCCACCTGCACCCAAAAGGACCGCCATGTAAGATTTGATCTGGAGCTTGATGCTACGCTGCAACTTTGGACCCATGAAGTCAGCAGCAAGAAGATCAACCAGAGCCATGTAGATAAGAAGGCCAGCAGAGGATGCATTGAGCAGCCCTACTGTGATTAGCGACCTTGGACTATTTTCCTTGTACGATTTTGTAAGGGCCATTCCGATTGCAATTCCGAATGGGGTTGTTGTTGAGAAGAAGAACACCATGATGGCCTTCTTCATGAACTTGTACTCAGCCTGCATTAAATTATATTTGTTCATGAGCTAATTGAAGTTTGAAGTCATTAAGTATATATTTTGTTTATATATTAATGGAATATATATATATATATACCTGGAGAATGCAACCACCAAGACCCATGCCTTCAAACATTTGATGGAAGCAAAGGGCAGCTACAAGACCTTTAATTGTGCAAGTGTTGTTTGATGCTCCAAGAGAAAGACCAATAACAACTGAGTGAACAATGATACCCAGTTCTAATACCTGCAACAATATACAAAAGTAATTATATTTATCCATGTACCATGTTATCAAACTGTCAATCTGGTCAACTACACGTTGAATTGAAAATTCACCTCATCTATAGTTCCGATTAACATTTTCTGACACTATAGGTTATAAGAAACTATGCATAACAAAATTCAGGAAAAAAAAATTCACTTCACTAATGATTTAAGTTAACAATATATATGGCGCGTCAAACTGTCAGATAAGATTAAAAAAAATTATTTCTCACCATGGCAACAACGCGATAACGGGGAAGCTGTGAGTCTCCATTTCCTTCCTTGACTATGTCATGACTGTGAGCATGAAAATGACCATGCCCAGCACCCACCGCAGCCATCTCTTGGTCCACCTCAACGGCTGCAACCGTCCCATTATCTGGGATAACTCCAGTTCTGCATCTCTTGCTATAAATACTAGTGGCCATAGAATCCACCATCAAAGTCACAATTGCAGAGAGCATAGCCACAAACCCTGAGAAAGGAAACTTGTGCCACGGGTTTTCTTTCAAACAGTTGGATGATAACATATCAAAAGAATCAGGCAAGACGTGCATGAACCCCGTGGCAAGGATGATGCCGGCTGCAAAGCACTTGACAATCACAAACAGGTTTCGATCGGGGTGCAACGCGGGTATCGAACGAGTAACAAGAGGCAAGGACACCCCGATCATGCTCGTGACCAAAATTGAGGTTATGGCTATGACTTTGAGCGGCACAGCTCCAGACTTGTCATTGCAGGAGTTGGTTTCTGTGCCGCATTCATCAGACTGTGAATGGACTTGGGGAGTGAGAATGGAGATGAAGATGATGAAGATAATTGGGGTGAGCTTCAAATGTGACTTGGTGGCCATTTTTTTACTCTGACTTTAGCTCACTCAAATAAGTTTTGGGCTGAATGATTTGGAGTGATCTTGGATCTTGTTTATATAGAGGGGTCTGAGATTGAGCAATCAATAGTGGCATGATGCGAACAGAATAAATAATTAAGGTGATTCATATTGTTTTAAAACCATAATTTCTTGTTTTATACCAACTTGACAAAAGAAAAAGCTCTGTTGATGTGTTCAACGATAAAGGTTTTGCTAGATTCTAAAAAGAAAAGTCAGGCCTGGAGAATTGACTTACGTAATAGTTTTATTCTTCATGAATAATATATTATGCAAGCAGCCGTACATGGAGCTGGTACAGTTGGATAAGGCTCCCAATATTCCAGATGAAGATATTTCAGTTTAATTTCTCAGGTCAACCAATTCTGTGAGATGCCAAGGGTTCAATTATACATGTGATACTGATTTACAGGCATAATTTTCCGTATAATTAGGCTTTCATCATCAAATTGAGACGGTTTAATTTCTAGATGAAAAATGTCACTCTTATTTTTCTTTTCTCTTCATTCAACCCTGTGAACTTTTGAGTTATAGACCAAATATGTATCGTCTGTGTGATTCGACCTCCTCCAACAAAGCGAAGACAAACCTCACCGAATCAAAGAGTAATTTGCATCTGTGAATTTTTGAGTTATACACCAAATATGTATCGTCTGTGTGATTCGACCTCCTCCAACAAAGCGAAGACAAACCTCACCGAATCAAAGAGTAATTTGCATTTGCAAATTTCTCTCTCTTAATTAGTTGATGTCACAAAATTAATCCTTTAGATGATGATGTCAAACTGAGAAGAAGAAAAACCAAAAGAAAAAGTCAAAAGATACAGAAAGAGGATTTGTAGGATATCTAATCCAGAAGTAAACGAAGTATATTATGCATAGATTCCGTTGTAAGTCGCATATAAATATTTAGGATTGTGTTAAGTAAAGGAAGGAGGTATGCTGCATGCCCTAGTTTGTCAGTGAATGAGTAGAGCTCGTGGGGGCTTGTGTTTCGCTTAGGCTTCTTCAAGTACACGTGGCTAAGGCCACCTAATTGCATAATAGTTTCATGAAAATAAAAATGCCAAAGTTCATTAAGGTGGTGTATCATTTTTTAAGTTAGTTTTCTGATAAGATTTGTTGGTTTATCATTATTCTCGTAAGTTCAAGTATTGAGGGATGTGATTTAACACTTGTTTTATTTTGTAGAAGGATATCTTGATGCATATTTACGCTTTTGAAATCAAATAATTCATCAGGACAACCAAAATGATAGGTATCGAGAGCAAGAGGCTTGTATAACTCAAGTTATTAAGAGCATTTACCTCTACATCAGAGCTCTTACCTAATATTGCTTTATAAAAAAATATGTTAGGTATCGAGCTAAATAGTTAGTGCCAACTTTTGTACAATTTAAAGTTTTATTAGTGAGATATATATATTTTAGACATCCTCATTGTTTAATAGCTGTACTTCTTCGTACCGTCCGGAAATGATTAGTTAGTAAGTCGTTTTCTATGAGAAATAGTTTGATTAGAGGCATTATTAGTAATGCCGATTTTTTTTTCTTTAGTAAACTCCGATCGCTTTCTTCATCTTTAAACAATAATCTGTGACTTGGAAAGTCAAATATATGTGGTCTGCAAGGACTGTAATTTATTCATTCTCTCTAACAAATGTAACTTAGTAATTAAACTAATAGCCAATGCTTATCTTGATAGATAGAGATAATGCAAAGTAAACCATCAATCATCTTCACAAATTTCTTAATTATTGGGCACCTTAAATTATTGTATTCAAATGAACCGTACTGTAACGTACATGGCCAAAAACAAAAAGGTGATATCAAACCGTTGAATAAAGTTCAAAAGTAAGACTAATAGGGAAGAAAAAAAATTGGTAAAAGTGATATAAATTGACACTAATTAGTTTAATTTTTATACAAAAGAAGTTCTAATTCAATAGTTCTTCACAATGTTGGAAAATGTTCGAAATTTGAATCCCGATTCATCGTCGATAAATTTTTTTTAAGAAAAAGCATGCAGGATGCAGCAACTGCACAGTGTAGTTTCCTTTAAGCCCATTTAGCCAACAAGGACATGCCTATGTCACCTGGGAGGACTGCCGCATAAGCCCACATTTGAAGTTTGACGCTGCCTTGCAACTGGGGCCTCATGAAATCAGATGAAGCAGGCTCAGCCCAAATTGGTCCAAACTGCAAAGGCTTTGTTGGGGGTGGACCGGGCCGGCAAATTGAGTTTAAAACATCCCCTTACTTTTCATTTCCACGCATGTTCATAAACTAGGTGAAGCTAAATTCTTTTTCTTCTTCAAAATCCATAGAGTTATTTTCACATTACTTTTCATTGCCTCCTTCCTTGTAAGGAGATATTCTTTCTTTATGTGAATCACAGTTTGACATATATACAAAAATTATCCATCAAAAACACACAAAAAAAAACTTATGCACACATATCACACTGCTATTGACAGGAATATAAAAGCTCCTACTTACACGGTAAGGAGGAAAGTATTTTCATTCTCTACAAAACCTACGAGAAATAAATGATTCTTAACCTAAAATTTAGAACACTTACTTGTACCAAAAGTAAATATATAAACTTTTAATTTTTTTTTGAACTCCCTCTTCCCCACCAAGGAAAAACTATGTGCCACTAAAATTTCCCTACTTTTTGTTGTTGTTGTTTTTCTTTCTTTCTTTTGCATATTAAAATCCTCCTATGTTGGGTAGTTGAGTTATGCTATGAGCACTTCCAACATGAAGGTTCAAAGCAAAAGCAAAGACACAATGATTCAAGTTTAAGATGAGATTTGGTTATCTGCACTGACTATATATACCCTAATCACATGCAACTCTTCTTTTCTCTCTGTCCAAAGTATCATATAATTCAAATACCCCACAAACAACAGTGCGGGTTTCTTCTTGCTTTGCTTGTTTATTTTAATACCTTTTTCCAACAGCTCACATTGGCATTGGGTTTTGATAAGCGTGAAGCAAATGATCACTAGCATATTACCGTTGGCTTTTGGAATTGCAGGGATACTGTTTCTCCCACTAAGCCCGTTTAAATTGAACACATGGCAGAGTCATTAAGCTTCTAAAAAATTATCCCCTTTCTAATCTCTCTCTGAAAGTTGTCATGCATACATGATTGTTGGCCCCATTTTTATAAAGAAAAATGTGTTGGAGAAGAAAGGAAGCATCCATTAAATCTAAAGACCATGGACCACATTTAGCAGGTGCCATGGACAAAAAAGTCAATTCATAAACCCTCTCATTGGATCCACATTATTATAATATTGCATATCGTTTTGTCCACCGCCTCATCTTTAAACACCACAAAATAATTAATACCACCCGCAGATTAATTAGGTGGTTAAGTTAATCAAATCAAATCAAACATTGAAGCACATTTCCATCCATCTTTTAAAAAACCACCCATTAACTTGCAATTTATAGGGACCTTATAGGCCCTAGGGTTGTGTGTTCTCTGTCAGATACACAGTTGGCATGTCTATGTCGATGTGGCCATGTTGCCCTAGAATTGAGCTTATTATAATTGTCACGATGATGCTCCATAACATCCACCATAATTAACTTCTCCAAATTTTCAATTCAATCATTCAGTCCTTTCTAAGCAATTTAGTATATAGAATTTTATTAGATCAATAAGAAAAAAGAGTTGCAAAGCGAGTCATATCAATAGCAATATGACATACATGAGTAAAAACTTTCAGTAATTTAACCTAGTCGACAAATTAAAACGATATACATGATTCTTAGATTATATATATATATATATATATGTGGATAGCCTTCAATGACTTTGGCTAAATATTCTATAAAGCAACCAAAACTTGAACATCAAGCGAGGAAAACTTGGTAGCATGCTTACCCATTAGAAATGGTTAAAATACAAGTTGGGTTTTGATGTTGTTTTGACCATTAGCTATTGTGGGACAGTATTGTGAAAGGACCAACATGAGTACATGTATGAAAAAGCAAAGACAACCACATCCAACATTAGCAAGTTTTTGACCCCACAACAAGATATATGCACATCTTCTTCTTCATATAACGCGGGGATTGAGATTGAGAGCAAGTTTTCAAAGAACAATATCTTTTTGCGAGGAGGAAGAGACAACCCTAAAGCAAACAAATACCCCACTTCCTTCCCAAATCTTCCCAATTTGGCACATTATTGTAATCTTGCGTTTGTTGGGGCCTTGTCCACTGCCACTTGTGCTTTTGGAGCTACACACATATATCTAGCATCACCCAACGTAACCATCACGTATCACTCAGAAATTAAAACACAATAATTTATATTATTGTTATATTGTTGCTGTGGTCACAATAACAACAAAAAAAAAACAGAAAAAAAGAAAAAGAAAAGCTTGGGTCTCTCTCTCAGTCGGTGGCAGACGATAACTCATAAATTTCACTATGTTTTGAGTTTACCAATTAGACCACACCACAGTAGCACTGCCAACCCTAATTTTGTCGGTATTGTACCCTCCAGCTTTGCAGGACCCTCTGCTTCATCCGATCTGATCCAAACCCTAAATTATCAGAAAATCCAGTGACTATGGCTCGTACACGTTTTCACCAAAGCAATGACCTATCATATATATATATATATATATATATATGCTAGCTAGGCTGACACAAAGCCATTAACGTACGCTTTCTGCTAGACTCTTCTCTTTGGCGTATTTTTAGGGTTCTTCTTTTGCACTCTATTTTTTTTTTCTTTCTTTTTCTGAGAGAGTTCACAGAACCCTATGACCCATGAGAGTAAAAGCTGGTGGGGGCAATCTCACATGTTATTTACAACCTCAAGGCTCTTGCTTTATTTTGTGCACCTAACCTAACATAACATCATCTTTTCTGTTTTTTGTTTCTTCTGATCCTTTTGCTGGAAATGTCATAAGTGGTTGCCCAAGTGGAGTTGCGGATACCTAATATTCAAGTGAAAAGTTATTTTCCTATAT